CGTTCAAAATGAGAGCCTAAATAACAGCCCAAAGCGATTTTGGTTCACATTTGGGGTTTAACAGTCGACCAAATTTACAACCTAAAATATTTTGCCTGAATTTGCTCGCTTTTTGTTCATGATGTTGGAATTAGAAACAAAAAAGGAAACAAAATTTTTTGGGCTCAGGCTGTTAGGTTCAGCTTTGGTTGATCTTTTGCTCTCCGTTTCCATTTTAAGGCCTTATGAAGGCCCTATTGTGGCTCGATCATGCAGTCAGGCCATAATTTTCGTACGGGTAGCTGAAATAAGTTTCAAATATGTTGTACAGACATGTATTTGACAAGATTTCTACCGAATTTCGCGGTATTTTTCGTGTTTTTGTGAATTTCGCAGGATTTCGCAGATTTACCTGAATTTTGTGGCTCCACGACCGCGCGAAATATCAGAAGCCCTGTAATAATAAGGATTAAACAGGATTGATTGTATAAATAACAGAGGAGGCCTGCTTTTTTTTTTTCCTTTTTGACCCGGTCAAAATCGTTTTAGTCGGACAAACCAGAAGAGTTTTTGGGGATACTTTATGATGACTTTATTTCACCTCTGTAATTGCCATTTAAATCTTTAGCTACAAACTGCTTGCTTTTGATATTTGATCTGTCCAGTAATCATGATCCGATCGCAGGAGGACATGACCGAGTTTCCTCAACAACAACAACAACAATTGCAGCAAACCAACTTTGAACAACAAAAGAATCTTGAAAGGGGCTGTATTTCATGTTGTGGCAGCATTGAAAGAACACACAAAGTTTAAAACTTAAAAGTACACGAGGTTTCAGTCAGTTGTCGGTAAAAAAAAACTTGGCGATGCAGCAGAAGTTTTTACGCACGAGTTCACCTGTCAAAACTTTGTCCAATCTGTCAGCTAGAGCATGACCAAGCTAAAAGCAATATTTTTCAAAGGTCTTTGTCGTAAGGCAAACAATCTAGAAATTCAAGATCTTCACTGGAAAAACTCCATTGGCTGCCTTTAGGTAAACTGGTTAACGGGTGTCTAGAAAACGACGACCTAGAAAACGAAGACCTACGACCTAGAAAACGACGACCTAGAAAACGACGACCTCGAAAACAACGACCTAGAAAACGACGACCTAGAAAACGACGACCTAGAAAACGACGACCTAGAAAACGACGACCTAGAAAACAACGACCTAGAAAACTACGATCTAGAAAACAACGACCTAGAAAACGACGACCTAGAAAACTACGACCTAGAAAACAACGATCTAGAAAACGACGACCTAGAAAACGACGACCTAGAAAACAACGACCTAGAAAACTACGATCTAGAAAACAACGACCTAGAAAACGACGACCTAGAAAACGACGACCTAGAAAACAACGACCTAGAAAACGACGACCTAGAAAACGACGACCTAGAAAACAACGACCTAGAAAACGACGACCTAAAAGAAAACCGCGGGTGGCGGGGGCTTAATAGAAGTAAGCGAAATGCCCCATCCCCGGACAAAACCAAAATAGCATATTCATAGCAAATCTCAGTGTAATCTTATCAAACATGCCGAACACTCACCCAAATCGCTCATAGCCGCTAGTTACCCGGGGCTGGTTATAAGTAATGCTAAGGTCAATAGGTCTAATTTGCACGTGCAGCACACTTTTTTGCACATCGTAGTAGGTGCAGAGGATTCTCTCAAAACCAAAATTTCTTGGATGCATTTTGGGCGCTTTTCATTCACCCAAAACTTAAGAAACTTTGGAAACAGCGGCAATTGGTACAGTATTTTCCCGGAAAAGTTCCCAGACTCCCGGAAACGTTTCCGAAATGCGAACCATTCAACCAGTTAGACATTCGGGAGTAAATTTGAATGCGGAAAGAAACTCTTCCCGATGATAATTTTCGAAAATTTGGGTGTATATTGCGAAAATGCTGTTCCATTCGGTACTACATGGAAGTTGCCGAAAATTTAAACCAGACGTTTTGACTGAATGGAATGGCGTCCATGCAAAGGTAACCAAATTTGTTACCAATTGTGCTCCCTTTGCGCGCGCGTGAGAGCTCCACTAAAAAAGTTTCTCAAGTCAAATTTTCGTTTAGTATGGTCAGTGACATAGGCGTACGAGAAGAATCTTAATTCTTTTAAAAAATCTATCGAGCGGTTCCATGAAATTATTCGCCCAATTTGTTAAAGTAGACCGAAATGTTTACAAAAGTGCTAACAAGAGTGCCTCGATGACTAATCAAATCCTTCTTTCGATTCTAGCAATCAAGCAGAGCTATCTCCACGATCTTTCACACATGTTTTTAGAAAGGTTAAAACTACTATGAGGTGAAAGTGCATGTCAAAAGCGCTTCGTTTTGTACAGATAACGGCCAAACAACAAGATTTTCCTTTTCTTACCGCATTTCTAATAATAAAAACTTCATTCCAAAATATCTCGATAACGCTCTTAAGGTTTTGTTTAAACTTCACGAACATCAAGGCGACCGTATTGGAGA